TGCCATCACTGGGATTCGAACCCGAGTCACCTCTTTGAAAGGCTCTCTCACCCGAGCCATCACGGCTCAAGCAGCTTTTATGGACAAAATGTGACTTGTAATAGTTAAAATTTGTATTTATCTTGGCAATTTATACACGTGCGATGTTGTTATTGATCGCCCAGGATTCTCTCTTGAGATAATTCTGTAAGAGCATGATTCTTACTTAATTGATCGCAAATTGAATAATTGAGAGTTCACAGTATTTTCTAATTGAATTGAATTATGCTAAGAGTAAATAAAATTTTAAAATGTTGGATATAGAAAGGAAATCGTGAAGTTCAAAAAAGGAATATTATTGAAGAGTCAAATGATAAGTATCTTAACTGGTGTCATACGACATGCAAAAGCATTTATTCAAAAAGAACCAATTTATTATCATTAAATGCTATTTTCTTTGAAAATGTTTCATCAATTCAAAATCAGTCACAAATGTCTGAACCAAAACAATAATAAAATTATTTTCTCAACTAAATTGATTTATTTCACTCAAAAATGCAAGAAAAATCAACCATCGGATTAATTATTAAATACTAGTGAATTACCTTATCAACAATTAAAACTGATTTGAAATTTCCGAGTCCCAAAAACATTTACAACAAAAGAATTTCATATATCAACAATATTAATTTTTTTGCCTGATTACTTTAAGATCCACCCAGCTTACGAAATGATCTAATATCTTAAAAATCGACTTTTATACTAACCTTAATTATGAAAAAAATAATTATGTTTTACTTCAAAAAATTAAAATTGATTCGGAATTTCGGAATCTTAACAATACACCTATAAACAAAAAACTTGGCTATTGTACAAAATTTCTTTTGCCTAACTAATAAGAATCAGTTAAAAATCTTAGTTACATTAAAGACTATATTAACAATTGGTTAAAAAAAAATTATTTCACATACTAATAATTGAAAACGGATTTGGTATTTTTAAATCATAACAAAAACTATCTTCAACAGAAGAATAGCAGACATCACAAAAATTTCCACTACCGAGAATTGATCCAGAAACCCTAGTTACATTTAATGTTAACGATTATTTTAAAATTGTTGAATCATAACAAAACCATCTACAATAAAAGAATTCCACACATCAACAAAATTTCCACTACTGAGAAACCATCCAAAAACTTTAGTTACAGTTAATATTAAAGATTAATTTAAAATAATTATTTCTCCCATCACAACAAATGAAAATCGGTTTGAAATTGTTGAATCATAACAAAACTATCTACAATTAGAAGAACTCAACACATCAACAAAATTTCCACTACCGAGAATCCATCCAGAAACACTTCTCTGTCAGTCAGGTAAGAATGGGAATATGTGCAAACACATAAGAAGCTTATCAACAGAAGAGGGAAGGGCTGTTGTTGGGGGGCCTTCACTGAGGTTATCGGATAATCCACCTGAGGCTCCTTCCTAAAACTATGACAAGCTTGTTATTGGAAGTATTGGATAGGTGTGTGTATTGGGGATTCCCAGAGGAAGAGCACTTCAAGAATTGGTACTTTCGCGCCTTCACTACAACGAAGCGTCGGCATTCTTTTGTGTGTCAGGAAGGAAATGCGATTACGAAGATGGTGTTGCGTTTTGTAGAAGCAGTCATTTTTATAGTCCTCCGAGAAGTTTTGGTTTAAATAAATAAAGTGTATTAATGGGGGAGATAGATCACCGAGGATTAAAATGGAAGGGGACGGGTGAGGTCGATGGTCACGTTCAGAATAATGCTTGAATAATAATTCCTTTAAGAAGTAAAATTTAAGTGAAATTATAAGAAAATTTCTAAAACTAAATGGAAAAGCTACAGAAGATTTATATTACCTTAATTTAAAGTTTCTAAACATACTCGTTCAATAAAACATTTTGAGTTTAAATATTTTCCTTACACTCATTTATTTTAATTAATAGTAATTATCATTGTCAGAGAAAAACAGGTAATTACATTTAATTTAATTTTATTTCCGGTGTTGAACATCCGACCCAATTCTGTGTTTGCAACTACCACTAGTCAACTCCGTATCCTTTTCATTTTGAACCCAACCCAGAAGACAGGAGAACTCCTATATCAAGCATTGGGACACACTAGCATTCCAGAAAGACTTTTAGTTGGAACTCACCAGCATTTGCGCGACATGGAGATTTGCGTGATGGCAAGGGGACTCTAACCCATGATCCGTCTACCACTGAGGATATTTTACGTCAGCGCTGTGGTCGGTGCGAGTTGGGAGCAGAATTCGTATCCACCAGCCACCACTGGAATTCGAACTCGGTTCCCCTCATAGGGAGACGAACGCTCTATCCCCTGATCCACCGCAGCTCAAAGAAAAAATAATGCTGTTATTATTTATTTTATTTTATAACCATCGTTGTACAGCCGACCCAATTTTGATGGGTTTACGACTACTAATGTTCAACTCCTTGTCATTTTGAACCTAATCCAGAAGACAAAGAAACTCCTGGATCAAGTATCGGGGAGAAATTTGCATTCACGGAGGACTTTTTTGATGGAGTTAACCCGCATTTGCGATACAGGGAAAGGAACACCACGAGAACCTCACACTGTTAGCCTGACGGCAAGGGGACTCTAACCCATGATCCGTCTACCACTGTGGATATTTTACGTCAGCACTGTGGTCGGTGCAAATCCGATTCGTATCGACTGGGATTCTAACCCGTTTCGCCGTGTTGGATGGCGAATGCTCTATCCCCTGAACCATCGTGGCTCTACTTATTTCATTGAAATCTATAATCGTTTTCTCAACATTTAAACTCGCAACACTGCAAATACCCATATAAATAACCGCTGGATTGTTAAGTTTATGACATTCATTTGGTTTGAGAATCAAAATACGAAAAAGTTTGTTTGGAAATGAAAATTCGACTCTATGAGGGCTTTCAAGAGAAATGAATCAGAGTTCAGAAATACTTTTTTAACACAGATTATTCTGAGTCATTTTTTTTCTGTAACAAAATTCTCAAATGGGTGCATTTAAATGCTAAAAGATAGATTTAAAGTGACACCACAGATCATTTAAATGTATACGCAAGACGTAACAAAATTCTCAGCGATTTAATGCGAAACATAAAATCTAAGTTATTTTAATGACATAAACGAATTGAAGCGAGAGAGTTACCTCTGAATAGTTAAACATTTGAAAGTCGCCAACCACCCTCTAAGTTCAAAAGTAAAAGTAAAAATAAAAAAAGTATAAGTGACAGTCTTTCTCAGTTTCATGGGGTGTTATCTACCTACGATAAGCTTAGAACAAGCCAAAAAATAAAAAAAAATGTATTCTCATAACTCGTTCAGTGTGACATCTTTCCTTGACAGAATATTCCATCACCACAAGTTGACGATTAGGGGAATGACCTTGGGGGGTGGATGTCACGGGAATGTCGGAGAGTGGGGAGAGCACAACCCTCACCTCAGGGTAAATTTTCTCCGTTTAGAATTTATTTCCGTTTCTTTCGTCTACGTGTGGGCGGATAAGTTTCCTTTTACCCTCCCCCCCACTCACCCCTTTTTGAAAGAAAGGAAATCATAAATTTCATAGCACACATTTCACCACAGTTTGAAAACAAAAATTATAATCATTCGAATCACTTTCCGTAAAAAAAAGTTCCAAATTCCGTAGTTAGCCTACTCTCTCGATCTTTTTCCCCCCCTTATTTTTATTTAATTTATTTATTTTAAGCGATTCAATTGACACACACTTAAAGCACATTGTAAAATTAAAACCAGCAATCAGTCAAATCACATATAAGAGTAAAAAAAAAGAGGGAAAGAGGATCCACCGTTACCCATCTTCCCCCCCCCCTCATTGATTTAGTGAATATACACATAAACACATTTTAAAAACGAAAAAGTCGAGAGAAAAAAAATTGAAATCGTTTTAGAGGGAAAAAATAGTTACTTTTTTACGACGGAAAAACGGAAGCATGAAACATGCGAGTCAAATTTAAATGCATTCCCTGAAGATTCAAAAACTGTGGATAAAATCAAAAAAAAAAGTGGCTTTAAAAAATAATTAAGAAATAACTTCTTTATTATTATTATTAAAACGGAGGAATTCCACCTAGCTTATTGTTCGAATCGAGTTTAATCCCGATTGGACCTGATTGAGTCATCCAATTTACAACACTTCTCTATTTCTTTTTTCATTTTAAGAGAAAATAACTTTTGTAACAGGAGTTATTTTTACTCCCTCTGAAAAACACAAAACAGAACATAAGTTATTATCGGTTCGTAACAGAGTTTGTCAGTTAAATATGCAACACAAGCTTTTCTCAAAATTCAGTATGAAATTTTAAAAAAATTCGTAACTGGATAATTCAGCTTCAATTCTACAGAATAAATATTAGATTAGAAACATCAGTCCTTTACAGTTAGGCTGTTTTTTGAAGGCACCATCGTAATATGCTTTTTTGCGAATAATATGCTATTTTTGTAACTGTTACATGACTGTTAGGTCAGCCAGCGTTGTCTACGCTTATTTTGAAAATGGCGCAAAACGTCCATATGGAGAAAAAGCACAGTTTCGTGAAAATGAAAAGAGTTTGAGATCTATTTTTTTAATATTTAAAAACTTACTCCAATGCTGCATTGCCTGGGCTCATAAAAATTTGCAAAAACTGAGAATACGGTAGTGATTTTGATAGTTTTCATTTAGGTAAAAAAAATGTTGCCAAATTGGCGATTTTTTAAAAAAGTTTATCTTTTAAAATATTTAATTAATTTGTTTGTTCTAAAGCCCAAATAATTCGACACGGCAGAATTATACATACACTAGTTTAAAATCATCACATTGCTTCAATTGCACGTGGCTTTTTTCTTTTCTTTGACGACAGAGGTTCGAAAAACAGCGTTAATGAAAGCATATCAACATCAGAAAATCTGAAAGTACGAAGAATATTGAATTATTATTCCAAACAGTATTTTGCAAAACTTACCAGTATGTGAAGCACTGTCTGGCCTGCAGACATCTGAAGAATTTTTAGGAGGCGACCCATATTCACTCGGGCCAGGAACATTAGAACTCTTCTCCTAAAAGAAATATAGATTATTTAGAAAGATAATTATTGATAAAAATTAACTAAATTTAACATACAAGGTTTTTATAAATTGAGTGATAAAGTCACACTATTCATATGCTTGAAATTGTATGTAGAAAACCCAGGATTCTAGTGTTCATCATCAAGGCTTATATAGTTTTTCTATAGAAAAACTCCCCTCGCCACGAAGCCTGAGGCCGCCTACTGCTATTTCATTTCAAAGAGCTTCTTTCTTAGCTGATTCCCCTTCTCTCGCTGACTCGAGCCAAAACCTGTTTTAAATGATGACCCAACACCCCTACTTAAATAGTTAAACCTCGTTGCCATAGTCACCACCACTGCTCCAGACGAATAGCTAGGGGAAGTTCTTTACATGAACAAACTGTTTAAATTAATTATGAATATTCGTTATAATTTTCACATTTGTATATTTTTAAGATTCGTTCAAGGTTTAAAAAATGTTTTCATTATTCCTATCCATTAAATAATAAACAGATTTAAGAAAATTTTAGGAAAGAGTGCTGACGTAATAAAGTTTTATACAACTTACTAACCATGACTTATCTTTCTCCCAGAAATTTAAGTTTCTTCTTTTTTTAACCGTTGAAAAACACGTGTTTTAATTGTTTATACTTATTACACTTTCAGATTTAAACCAATAGTAATAGTATAAATAAAAGCTTTGAAACAAATTCTTCAGAGATTTTTAGTCATTTCCTATTATTACTTGGAAAATACAGATAAACCTCAACATAAAATAGAAATCATAGTTGATTTAATTAAAATTCACGAAAACTCTACTGTTTTCAAACCAACCCGTTTCAATAAATAGCATCGAAGCAATATAAATATTATTTGAAAACAAGCATCGATTTCAGTTGTTTGAAGGCACATTAAAATTCTCTTGTATTAGAAAAAAGATCGCTTTTCATTTCTCCATTATTTTTCTGTCCTTTGAAAAAGAAAGAAAAGTTACTTAGCTTCATTTAATTTTTTGAATGCCGTTAACACAGCACCTATCTATGAAAGACGATACATATCCATTTTAATACGAAATATTGATGACAATCTGAGATCAATAACTCCTCACTTCTGTATTTCTAACATTTTTGACGTGACCTAATAATTTAAAATTTATTACACTTCGGCAGAAATAACCTGATACATCATTTATCCTATTTAGGACCGTCAACTATGGAGAATGAATGAGACATTTAAAATTCAAATTCATATCCAATTTGAATATCCCATCACTGAATACAGGACTAACAAAAATATAATCATCCAACGTATCCATAACTTTTTCTGCCCTCAATGAGATTACCTCAATGATTTAAAATATATTTTTTTCTTTCTCGCAGACCTTTATATTACGCAAGATGTCTCCGCCCATTTAAGTGATTCCTTCCCTTGTGAACACGTGAGATAGTTGTAGAAAATTAAGAAAAGCCCTACAAGGGTGAAGATATATTCTGCCTGGAAGCCAAGTTGGGATAATCACTGCCCACCCCTTCGCGGCTGTCATTAAATGTCTGGATACAAATTAGCCGAAATTAATGTTTGGAAAGATCTACGTTCAGTTCCAGAACTTGTTGCTGTCTTCTAACCTCAACAAATATTGGGTCCCCCCACCTCCCTACTCTTTGACTCTCTCAAGACACACTTGAAAGACGAAATTAGCATTACTGTCTTACAAGATTTCTTTGGTGAGAACAATCAACGCTTCATTTTAAAAATGTTGGGAAATTTCTGAAACAGTTATGGTTACGACTTGACATTGATTTACTGATGGCGATTTTCGGCCCTGTCCTATGATATTTGACTTAGAGAACTTCTTTTAGCCAATTATAATCAATTTACATTGAACATTAACATCAGTGCTCGCATTATGCCACAGAATTATTCCACGTTAGATAACTGCAAGTGACGTCATGGCGGCAAGTGTCGATTCAGAAGCCAATCAGATGGGTCCCCTACAGATATTCAAATAAATCTGATTTAAATCACACGGTTAGACATTATCACTTCACTTTCTTCCAATTGTAAAAATGCATTAAGGATTTCAATTGATTACTTGCTGTGTCTTCAACTATCTTATGCTTCTGCTTAATGATTCGTCATGCAATGGTATTTCTGTGAGGTTATTGTTTCGATAATTTAATAATTAATTAAATGCCCGATCCTGATCATGATTAACTATATCAATTGGTCATTAGTTATTCTAGAAATATTTATGTGATTTTGTGTTGAGGATAGAGTCGTTTATCTTTAAACTAAATATAGTTTAAATTTTCTGCGACAGTCAAGTAAAGCACCAAGAAATTTCTTTCTGGATTTAAAAGAAGGAATGAAAAACTGTTCTCTAACGTGGTACAAATATGTGAAGCTTTATTACAAATTTTGTGAACAGCTATTTTCTCCACCGGAAAACTGAGTTTGAAATTATTAGTGTAAATAAAATAAGAAAAAGATAAATATAAGACTAATGTAGTCAGAAATATCGAAAAATGTGTCAATTTAGATTTAATAATCGAAAGTCGACTATTAAAAAAAGAATGAGTAAAAAATTTTAGATATTTATAATCTGCTTTAGAAAAACATGGTAATAACATTCATTCATCCAACTCAAATGCAAAACAGAAATAAAGGAAGATAAAATCTCCCAACTACAGAATTCAGTAATACTTATGAGAATTGCGATCTCTCATAATTGTTCATTAAGCGCGCTCGTTCTATCATTTATGTTGAATGAAAAAGTATTTATACACCGTTGCACCGCGTTACACCGTATTTGGCGTCGAACAAGTACAAAGATCAATACATTAATAGGATACTAAAATATTCTATTCAGTATGACCACGTCAACAATTATTTTATATTGGGGGCAAAGAAGAGGAAATTCCCCTTAAATATAAAATCATAATGGGAAAAAAAATCAATTCCACTACCGATTTCTGCACTCTTTAGAAATTTCTCGGATAAAATGGGTAAATAACAATTTATTTAATTGTTATTTTACCATATTCAAACAAAACAGTCAAATAACCATAAATAAGATGATATTCAAACTGTAAACTGTGAAGAAAAAAAACCGTTTCCTAACTACTTTCACCTAATACGGTTAAACAACCAGAATTTTAGCACACCAACAAAGTTCATCCAATGAAGCCACTTAGTTTCGTGCAGATGGGTACATATTATAGCCGTGAGGACTAATCTGACCGAGAGATCGGGGGTTCAAGTCTCAGCGTTGAAACCACACTATTTCATCCATTCATTTCACCACACGAATAGCACACATGAAGAGTTTCCTGCACTCTCCAATTTATGACCCTTGACTATTAGAATACGATACTCTTATCCACGCCTAGATGGCAGCACCCTAAAGCTGCTGAACACAAAAAAATCTAGCATTTCCTATCTCTTAGTATAAGTGAAGCAATCAGATTAACTATATAAACCACATTCCACTGTTTACACAACTCAACCCCAACCTAACTCCAATGCCTAAACCTAACAAAAAAATCTTGCTCCAATACCCATTTCTTTTTTTCGGTTTTGGAACCATGCTAGTTGTAAAAGGTTTGAAAACCGTAAAGGTAAAAAATGCTCTCTAGCGTCAACTTTACGGTTGATTGGATGGACAGAATACCATCATTTTAAAATGAAAATTATAACAATGCGTGTGGAATACATTTATTGCAATAGTAAAGGATATCTTTTGATATTGTAATACGATTCTGCAATTTATAAGGCAAACATTTGACTAAAGAATCCTCATTTACGTCGAAGGACTACAACAAAATGCCTCGTTGATCCTCATTGATTGACTATTAAAATCATTTAAGATTGTCACCTATTTCCGGATTGATGCGAGAGGAAAGCAAACTGAGTTGCCCAATTTGTACAAACAGAGACCCTCTTTAATCAATCAAGTTGTCCGACTCATATGGTTCTCATTTCCTTTGACTGAGGCTTATTTCCGTATCATAAATTGGAATTTTTAGAATCGCCAAATTCAGCCAAGAATTCAATTCGATAACATCTTCTTCGATAGCAAGTCTAGATAACATCATGAAAGAAAGTGAGTCTAGGAATGTATTTCATTTCCACTTTGGAAATAATTTATTTCTTGCAAAACCGGAGAAGGAAAAAAAGACAAATCTGAGAATGCGTTAACTTGTGGCACATAATTATATGAATCGAATTAAATTTAAAGTAGGTTGAAAATGATTAAATAAAAATGTTGATTGCTTTAAAATTAAAAGCAAACAAATGCTAAAAAAAATGGTATAATTTAGTCCGATTTATTTTTAATAAACGTAAAGGGTGTTGTCTCTAAATATAAAGGCATATGAAAAATCTGCATTTGTTAACAAGAAAAAGCAATAATCTGCTACACTAATTGCTATCCATTGTTCGATGATATATTATTTGCTATAACTAACAGTATTCTGTGATTCATAATCTAAAATATATCTTGCCTTGACTTATTTCATGACTCTAAAAAAGTATCTCGCATAAAATAGAGTATAAATAGTAGTACAATTTTGTGGGCATATTTTATAAATGGCAATCTATAAAAAATATTTTCCATTTAATTCTGAATTAACATTTTTGTTGATAAATGGATTGTGACGCATAAGTGGCTTTTTGGTGAACAAATTAGGATTATTTAGCAGGAAATTACAAGTTGAGCAAAATGAAAAAACTCATTTTAGTTAACATATTTTTTATAGAAAGTAAAAATATGTAGTTTTTCTATACAGTAACAAGAGAGGTCAACAGCTTTGCCAGTTTATTTTTAAACCAGTTCTCCATTTAATTTTTTTTTTAGTTTCCTTTTTAAATAAATAGAATAACTTTAATAATGATGTTGGTTATTTAAGCATGCGTTGAGGAAATACAGTGACACTACATAAAGTGACTTTTTGGTAAAGGAATGAGTATTCTTCTTTAGAAAATGGTAAGTTGAAGAAAATTTAAAATTTC